CTCTGTGTCCCCGCCCCGCCAGCACAGGAGCTGCCACCGGGCCCCTCGTCACAGCCACCGGGGAGCTTCACTCGAGCCAAAGGGACCGGATTTCACTGACCTTCCCCTTGCGGCCCGGACACGCAGCTCCTGCAGACTTTTCCCAGAGGATCAGGGGCTCCGGGGCACTGGAAGTTCCCAACCCAAAAGCGGGGATTAGCTCAGCGCTCCTGGCTTGTAAACGGTCCCCGTTCCTGCCCGGGGCAGGGGTGTTGGTGTGAGCATCCCGGAGGGAGCGCTCTCCATCCGACCAGTGGAATCCGTCAGTGCTGGGCAGGGACCGGAGCAGAACGAAGCAGAAGTGCAAAACGGGGGAACTTTCCTGCTATTAGTAAAAGTTCCACACAAGCAGCTCTGCACAAAACGCTAGTCAGAGCTGTCTAGACATCTGACATCTGCTGCGCAGGACTGACAAATCGTGAGAAGCTCCTGCTTTGAAAAGCTCCAGCACGGGGTGAACGCTGACAGCTCTGCCTTGGAGCGAGAGGCAGGAGCGCCGCTCTGCAGGGCCCGGCTCGCATCCCGCCAGGAACAGCTCGGAGCGGCTCCTGCCTTTCCTCCGGAGCCCCGGGAACACCGTCTCCAACCTCGCCGCCTCCGCGGGAAGCGCTGCTCTGCATGTGCAAAATGAGTTAACCTTAAAAACAGGAACAAAAAGAAAACAATGAAGTAATGACATTTTTTCCAGTAGCAGCTGTCAGCTGCGGCTCGCGCCTGCTCTCCAGCTCATAAACCATCCGTGACCCTCATGGCACCTGGGGCAAGCAAGGCCACCCCATCCCCTGTCTCGTCACCAAGCACCGATGACAGCGCGTGACAGGGCAGGGACCAGGGGAGGAGAAGGAGGAGGAAAGCACACGTGGAATTGGATACCATCTGCAGCCATTGTCCAGCGGGAAGAGCCGGAGGGGAGCGTAGGACCAAGGCGCTCAGGATCTTGCAGCGCGGTCAGAAAGACCAAGCCTTGAGCAGGAGGACCAGGGCAAAGCCAGAAACAGCAGTACGGGGGGGATTCACGATATTCAGCCTGTTCTGCACCGCCTGGATCCCCCCGCAAGCTGCAGCTTACGGCAGTGAACGAGCCCTCACAAACAGAAGGAATTTTGGCAACAATGTCTGTGACCATGTGAAGTTGCCCTGCTAGGCCCTTTGTGGCAACTGCATAAGCATTCGTGAGCAGATCCGTTAAGCAAAAGACGAGGCAGCTGACACAGAAAACAC